GAGACATAGTGGGCTTGAAAGTGGTACATTCATAGAAGGTTTGATGTTCGTAAAAGTGATGTACATAAAACTATGTGAACGTAAGGGATGCATATCCAAGAGAAGAGAAAAGAAAAAGAGTTGAAACGTAAAAGCACTATTATTTGTTTGCATAACTTGATACTAGTACGAGGTCAATTGCTTGATATTTGAACATTATCGAGCCAATTGCTTCACTCCAACCTCAAATATAAGCTTACGATATTTGAGAATTTATGGTTCGATCCAAGGATTCCCATGATTTCAAACGCCTAAGAATTCTTGATTCCGATCTAGCACCCTAAGTACCTTCTTAAATTTAACCGGGTCTTTGTCTCGTATTTTTAAAAAATGTTCGTCCCTTCTTATTGAGTTATTCTTGAACTAAATACTTGTAATTGACAGGTCACCTGTAGCATAATAATAATGTATTGAATTGGATTAGCCTTTGAATATATAATATCATAGACCAAGATAAAATGCTGAATTATCTATTAACTTATCCCCTAATACTTTAACAAAGATTTAGAAACTTATCCATTAAGTTCTCGAGACAAAATCATTAATTAAATTAAGAAAAGGAAACCTAATTATCTTTTCATCATCTCATTTTCTAACATTTTTATTAATTAATTTGGTTCAATAGATTAAAAAAGTGCATGTTTGATGCAAAAAGCTCACCGCTAGCAAATATTGTCCTTTTTGGACTTTCCCTTTCGAGCTTCCCCTCAATAGAGGTTTCCACACCCTTATAAAAAATGATTCGTTCTCCTCCCGATCTCACAAAAATGGCTAACAATGTGGTTGTGAGCTATTTTCTAGCTAAAGAGAGTCCCTTATTTTTCACAGATGATTTGGACAGGACTGGGAGCTGTGCCCTCCCAAAAGAAGCTAACACATCTATCCATCAAATTCAAGATTCCGAGCAACGTTTTGTAAACGACACCGGTATCAATGATGGATCCTTGTATACGTTTAAATGTAAAGGATGCATAAGATCACACAAAGCAAAGTTTATCGAATTCTAAAGAAGTCAAGTGATTTGAACAAACTGGCTCTATCTAACAGCCCTCTTAGGTTGGAAATATTGATGAGTTTAAATAAGGTCATTGACAACATGAACGCAAGGCCAAACTAAATTTTCCAGTAATGTCCAACTTGAGAAAAGGAAAAAGAACCGTACTTTGAAATTCCCCAAGAACCGAAATCCTCTCACTCCTCCATAGCATCCCCTCCTTCAGTTATCTCAACCTTTTCCTTCAATGGCGTAATCTTTGTCAGCAGAACCTCTGTAATCAAACAAAGCACGAGTCGGTTGGGGGTGGGGTGTTAAGGAATGGGGAAAGAGAAGCAAAACATGAAAGATGCAGAAGAGAATCGAGTATACAAGCGACTAACCCGTTTTCTTGGAGAAGGAATAGCCTTTCGAACTGACGTAGGTTCGGGGATTTGGCGAGAGGTGGTTTCGTAAATATTCCTTCTGGCCCTGCAACACCAAAAGAAAGGAACACATCAAAATTAAACGTACTTTTTAGATTCAGTTTTTTCTCTATTTCCTAAAGATCACAAACCTTGGTGATAACACAAACATCAACGTTACTTCCACTTCCCAGATCATTAAATATTCCAGAACATATCGCCTCAGTAACAAGTTGAATCCCTTCTTCCCTCTGCAACAAAGAAATAAATGCCTCCAATCAATATGGCGTATAGAAAGAAAAAAACAGTGCCACAACTAAGATACACCATGTGATTCAAATTCATCTGTTATCTTACAGTCATGCCTTCTTTGTACTTTGATTCAAATACAGACATTGCAGCTAGAGAACCTGATCCCATTGTAGCAAATGGCAAGGTGTCAGTTGATCCATGAGGATATATCTGCAGATGAAGTATAGCATTAAGAGATGGCAAGTTATATAACCTAAAATCATTTGTTTTCCAGATCAAAACTCACAGTGTGTAGATGAGGTCCAGTAACATCGACTCCACCGAGTACCAAAGCAGCTGATACGTAACCTCGATAGCTGGAGAACACAATGGATGAGAAGATTTAAATTTCATGCAACAGATAGATGAGAGACACAAAAAAGGAAAACCTAGAAGACAGAAAAGACTACCCAAAAAGGTGTTTCTTGAGAAGGGTTAGTGCAGTAATAACCCTAGATTCTCGACCAGTGTGGTAGCGATGCAACTGCAATTGGGAGCTAACCATGTCTACAGAATTCGAGAATAATAGAATATGTTCAGTTCGAGAAACAATATTAATGGAACTTAACTTGTAGAAGCTAGATATCACCAATTACCTGTTACTGCCTCAGTGTCAGCAGCAGTTCCTGCACCACAACAATATATGTTTGGTGCCATGTAATGAATTTTCTCACAGTTTTTGTCAGCAACAATAGGGCCTTCAGTAGCCCGTGTATCTGCTCCAAGAACAACACCATCCTGAAGCAAATCAGGAAGATTTGAAAAAAAAAAAAAAAAAACATTAATTTGAATATATAGAAGAAACTTTGGTGCATAATAATTAAATTGAAAACAAGAAACCATGCAGTGACAAGTATTACATTTACTAACTATATGGACCAGGCTATTCAATCCAGTTATCTTTTAAAAAACGACGCACATGTTGACAAGGAGAACAATTAAACGCATCAATTTTTCATACAAAACAACCTATTTTAGTACCACTAAGACTTCTCCCCCGATAATTTTGTAGCTAGCTAGTGTTTGTGCAATTTTGTTGGGTCTTTGAGGTGAGAGGAACAATAGAATCTTTAGAAGGATTGAGAGGTCATTTGGATAATGTCATGTTCCTTGTTAGATTTCATGACTCCCTATGGGCTTTGCTTAGGTATTTAAGGCTTTTTGTAACCATCCTTCAGGCTTAATAGCAGAAAGATCAATTAAAGCAAGCTAAAAAAGGTCAATTTGCTGAAACTGATAAATAAAAGAGAACTCAAATGATAGAAAGGAAAAGGATTTTTCCATATGTCCATTAAGGTGTTTATGGATTTCTACACAATTAATGAGCTTTAGGACATCATTTAACTCCGAAAAAAAAAATTGAAAAACAATACGATTGAATTATGTAACACCCTAAATGTAGCAAATTACCTTGAATATTAAACCCACAATGGTAGTTCCAGTCTTGAGGTAAGTCGGAGATTTAAGACCCTTCTTCGAAAGCATATCATTTCTTCTGCAGAGATCAAAACTAAACCCACCCTTGGGAGGAACATCAATCGCAGAGCTAGACATAGCTAAATTTCAAGTAAACCTGCAAAGTTATAATTACAAATGAAATGATATGCTAACTTAAAATTAAAGATGGCATAAACGAAACAAATTTCACAAGCAAAATCTCGAAACCTCAAACCAAGACTATAAGGTCGCGATACATTCCCAACTTATTATTACAAAATATCCAGAAATCTAACATGAAAAAGAAGAAAGAAAGAAAAACAAATCCCTAATGCTAACACAATCCCACACCGAATCCTTCAAGCAATACAATATCAAAGAATTTACACGCTAAGCGTTGTGATTCCTTCATTGGATGATCTAATCAAAACCTAAGAAATTTCTTCTACAAAGCTGTATCTCAAATTCCTAATTCGCTGCAATCCATAACCAGGAGCCAACAGATTAAAATGCCAGCGTCAAATTCTTTGATACGAAGAACAAAAGAACTGGAAGATTCAGATTTGCAGAAAGAAAACGAACCTGAAAATGAGGAACGTGGAAGATCCAAGTTGGCGGAGCAGCGAAAGTTCGAGTGAGGTTTTAGCGAGTTACCTCCCCTTCTCGTTTCTCTGTCTAAAAAGCAAATAGCTTGCAGAGAAGGAAAAGACTTTCTTTAAATAAATAAAAAAAAAAAAAAAAGAAAGAGAAGATGAAAATTGAAATATGGGCCACAAACTTGTGCAAAATTAAAATTGGGCCACAAACTTGTGCAAAATTAAAATTGGGCCCAAACGGTGTATTTTGATAATTGATTATTATTTTTTTAATTACGCTCATGAACACTAAAGGTATGGAACTTTTGGGCAGGTGTTCACCGTTGGATCTCGCCAATACAGCTCCCATAGTTTTCGTTACCGAGATATCTTTTTTTTATTGTTCCCAAGGATTTTGTGGGTAATCTGCTCCCATGTTGAGTCAAATTTAAACTCAATCCCTTTCACTCTTCTTTCTTTCCTCGCGGGCAGGAAGCACACCAGTTGGGTGCCCTGCATAATTCTATTGTATTTTTTGCACGGGCTAGATTGGGTATCACTATTGCTTGAACGTTTATGTGGTTATTTAGAAATAATGAGTCACAAATATTATGGGATAGAAGTGAATGTATATATGACATCGTTATGTACGAAAGATCTTCTAAGTTGCATAATATGAACAAACATGTATTTTTGTCTGTGAGACCTTTTGTTAAGCGTGTTTCTTTTTTTTTTCTTTTTTTTTTTTTTTTACTACATGAAAGTGATGTACATAGAGTCCAATGTGTATGAAAGTGATGTATATAGAGTCGATGTGCATGAAAGTGATGCATACAGAGTCGATGTGTATGAAAGTGATGCATACAGAGTCAATGGGTATGAAAGTGATGCATACAGAGTCAATGGGTATGAAAGTGATGCATACAGAGTCAATGTGTATGAAATTGATGCATACAGAGTCAATGTGTATAAAATTGATGCATACGTAATGAGGCCCAAGGGACAGATGCATTGCCTTGAGTTTTATGTACATGAACCACCTATATGAAAGTTATGCATATCTCGAGAAAAATAAAATAAGTATGAAACCAATGTCAAAATTTAAGTTCTACCACAGTGACGATCATAGTATGCATACAATAGCAATTCCAATCTGGTCGGGTTTTAGAAGTCGAGTCGTATTTAATAAATCTAATAAAGCTAAGAATGATTTTACAATCTCAATCTCAATTGAATTATGGAGAATATGAAATCAAATTGAGTGAACAGAGAATTTATTCTCTCCAAATACTTGGGATTGCAAGTCGTTCAAACAAAAAGAATGTGTTCTTAGCCTCAAAATCAACCACACTTCAAGTTAAGATATGACCAGCCACCTCCAAAATCCTAGAAACAAAGAGAGGAGGGGCTTCTAAACTTCTTAAAAAATGATTCTTGGAGCCGCAAAAACAAGAGACAAAGTTATTCATTCGGATGCTAGCTTCTTTGCTTTCTCAACTGCTTCTACATAGTAATATAATCTCCAGAGAGTGGTGTTATTCTACACAAGAAAAAGAAATAAAGATAAACAAATATACTACACACTAATATTCAATCCATGGTCACGGTTGCCTGCATTAATATGCATTAATAGGTATGGTTTTATTAAATACATCTCTTTGTGGAAATACTCGCACTCTTTATTATCACTAATCGAGAAGAAATTACAAGACACTTTGTAGAAACTACTTGTTGAGGATTGGTGGGAGTGAACCCACATTGACTAATTTAAGAAATGATCATAGGTTTATAAGTACAGAAATACATCTCCATTGGTATGAAGTCTTTTGGGAAAGCCCAAAGCAAAGTCATGAGAGCTTAGGTTCAAAGTGGACAATATCATACCATTGTGGAGAGTCGTGATTCCTAACACTACTGCACCCTGTGGTTTAGATTTCTTGGGATTAAAGTATTGGTAGGGTGGAGAGGTATTTACCATAGAAGCTAGACAATTTATTCATAAAAGACCTAAATAATTTTCCTAAAATAATTAGGTATCTTTATTCCTAAAATACCTAAATCATTTTCCTAAAATACATACACAATTGTCTCATACGATTATTGAGCTTAACCTTATTGAACTAGTGATGATATTTTAACATGTTTCACTTACCACTTTATCCAAATCAATATGGATTTCATAAGAGGAATCCGTTTCGTCTGTCATATGTTGGATGATGTCTGCAATACGGCCAAGATTTTGGGGTGGAAGCACCTGAATCATTTTCTGAAGCTGTTCCTTTTCCTTGAAGGTCATAGGCCTGAAAAAGAAAGATGATTAATAACCAGACAGATTGAAAGGGAAGTTTAATGACTCATTTGGGTTGTAGATGCTGTAAGCAGTTTGTTCATGGAACTCGTTGGTGTAAAAAACCCATCAAAGAAGTTGATACTTATACGAAATATTTAAGTTTGTACATAATAAACTAAACGAGAAAGGCATCATAGTGATCGACTCCATTAATCGAGCACGACACATATTCGCAAGAGGAAGAGATAGGCTTCGAAGTTATAACATGATCTGCCATCGCCATGCTAGCCTACATCTTTTGTTTTTTCCTCCCACCCTCTCTCTCTATCAGTCTCTCTATAATTTGATGCAGTACCTGCAATTTGATGTTACAGAATCAAGAACTTCCTCAAGCTGTTGCTCCATGTGTCCTAGCTGAAAAACCACTATTCAATGTTAATTAGCAGTTTTAAGTATAAGACGGTGGTGTAATAGAAGTATTAAAACTGATTATATAGGAATTTTGTGATTCTACATCGACAAGCACCAAGAAAAGAAGAAATAAATTATTTAGTGCTTCATTTCGATATTAATTGTGAAATTGCGTTGTTGCGTCAGAAGAAAGATAGCTATACTGATTTGGTATACTCTAAAAACACCCTTGGTATAATGTTCACGATCTTACAAAGATAAAATTTTAGTTAATTTCCATTTACTGATCTCATCTTTTACGGTGGTGTAATAGAAGTATTAAAACTCGACATGATCCATTGGCACAACATATTACCCAAAGCAATTGAATGAGCGTGCAATATAAATCAAAGCAAAAGGGAACATGGATAATAGAATGTTACTTTTCCAGACAGTTCGTTTGAAAGATTTGTCACTATTGCTTCGATCTGCTCACTATTGTTCTCTATAAAGAACTGCAATTCATCATCTATCTGGCATGAAGGAATGAAAGATAAGCAAAAATATAGAGTTTGAAGTCTGCGCAAAACTAGATCATCACCATGCATTGTTATGCCAACAAAATACATTTTGACTACCTGACAAAGAAAATTGACAAACCACATCAACGTATAACAAAATTCTAGATCCATTATTTTCTTCCTTCTTAGGGCACAAAGCACATAAATGTTTGTCAAACTTGCTAAAAGCCAGAGTCTTTTCTATTGACAACTAATTACGGGAAGGGTGATAAGCGGTTCAAAATCCTTTTTCCCCTGCTAATGGAGGATCATAATATGGAATCATGGGGTGTAGTCTATGTAACAAGGTATTGAGCAGCACACAAAGGGCTTCCCAAAGATCATTTAACTAGGACGTTAGAAGCATGAAACCTCCCACCCCCGAGATTTCATCTCTTAAATTAAGGAGCTGAAGAGGTTAGAGAGGAACTACGAAATCGGCATTTGAGGGAGAAAAAAACAAGTTAAGCATTAATCAATTGCATGCCCAATGAACAACTATCTCTTGGCTTCTCCCAAACAAACAGCTCAATGCTCGTAAATAAGAATATTTATGCCGTAAAGCTCAAAATATCATGATCAGCATATGACTCAAACTCAAACAAATTGTACAGGTTTCAACCTGAATCTAGATTTCGCTTATTGAGTGAAAAGCTATTTAGGGTCATCCAGAAAGATTCTATTCACCCAAGTAGTACAAATCAGAAGCTGTTGAGGGAAATACATCAGTTAACTTTCCACCATACTATTAACTTCTACTGTAAATCAAAATGCAAGTGAGCATAACGACCATTCAGAGAGAGAGAGAGGATGGGAATTAAAATAGAACTTTACCACTCTACTACTTCCAAGACCACCACAATTCTTGTGCGCAGATAGGCTGGTTGAAGAGGATGAGGATTTGAGTTTCTTACAAGGAGCTTGCTCTGCATCATTCATAACTATTTTGTCTACATTTTCCAAATTCTTTTTGGATCTCAAATCTGACTTCAATTGTTGGATAGATAGAGCAGGCCCGAGCATCTGCAGCAGCACGATATTTAGAATTGTAAGTGGAAAACCATAAATTCAATCAACTAATTGTCATCTTGAGATTGAACTGAATTTAAGAGAAGAAACAAAGAAAAACAGAGAAAGAAAGAAAGAAAGAAAACATAGTTATTAAATTATTAAGCAAACAACAAGCCCCATGTCAGGTTAAGCTCAACAGCCTGAAATGTAGTAACCCAATTTCTTTGCCACTAAATACCTCATTTACTTCTTCTGAAAGAATAACAGCACTCTGCCTGAGCAATGCCTTCAGTTTTTCTTTCTTAAAATGAGAGAGCTTAGGTCCCATGCTATTACCAAATGAAGATGAAGCTTCAGATATCCGTGAATCATGTGAAGAAGAAGTAGAAAGCAGATTATCCTCTTGAGATAACAAATCTATAACTTCCCGTCTGAAGTAACTGAAGTAATCAGGACCGAGTTTATCTTGGCCAGCTGCATCAGATTGATGCTTTGACATAACAAAGCAAAACCAGAGAAGACCGCACACTGCGTTAAATTTGCTAAAGAGTTAAAATCAGAGAACTGAACTAGCCTTCCGTCATGGAAGGAATCCACAAGCATATTAAATTCCAAGAAGGATCGGTAAATATATCTTGACAGCCCAAGAGCATAACATGAAGATAATGTTGTAAGTTGTGATGAAGTTGTATTTTCATAACTCTCGTAACCTTTCATTCATATTTTCATTTATTTTGGTTATCAACTCTCATTTAGTTCATAACCATTTTGGTTCATATTCTCGTTTATTTTGGTTATTAATTCTCATTTATTCATAACCCTTTTGGTTCATGTATGAGAATTAGTATTGCTAGGCCTATATAAAGGTCTGTCTAACATTGTTTTGAGAGGTTGAGTTATTGGCAATTGGGAGGAATTTTGTTGAGAAATTTTGTAGTGGGAGAGTGTGAGAGATACATTTATAAACACTTTGGTTATAGTGATTGGCTACCACCCGTAAACACTTTGATTATAGGGAATTTCTTCTCTCCGAACCACATAAATCTTTGTGTCTCTTAGTTTAATTTCTGTTTGTGAGTGTGTGAGTACGATTGATCTTGCTTCCATTTCCGCTATAACAATAGGGTATTAGAACATTTTTGGTCATGGCATTAGGGTACAACGGATAACTTGCATCTCTTCCCGTGATAACTGGGAAGAAAATAGAACACAGAGGAGTCTCAGCGCTCCCCTTCTTTGAAAACCCCCAAGGGGATAAAGAAGTAAATGCACTTTTCAATCCACATTCTCACCAAGTACAAGAAAATGCAAATAATCATCAAAATCTCACATAATGGAAAATCAGCATCGCGATGATCTTAGTATCAAAAGCCAAAACTAGTAAAAAGTGTTCGATTAAAGGCAATAAAATCCCGTATCTCTAAGTGCGTCATCGCCATCCCCGAGCATTAATACGTACAATCATAGAAACATTTCAGAAACGAAAACTACTACTCATTGAGCAAAAATCTCCAGCAAAACAATCTATCGAGTACTTAATCTGCAATAATTTCTTCAGGAAGTTAACCAGAAACAGGCAGCTAATAAATATCAACATAAATTCCCCAAATAACACAGAAACAGAAACAGAAAACTGAAGCAAATCTCTCCAAACCATTGCTTCGCAGAAATAGAACGATACAAACCAACTTAAACTCATAAACGAAGAGGAAAATTTCCATTCTCGGGAACCAAACAATACAGTACAAGTAAATTCAATCAACCAGTTAAAAAATGATTCGAAAAATGGGAAAAGAAAAAACAAGAGGGAGGGAGAGTATAGAGAAGATAACGTTACAGAGAAACGCGAGATGATCGTAGAGATTGAAACTTCTAATGATTCAGTGGGAGTGGAAATGAATATCTCGCAACTTAATTCTAATGATTTATGAATTTCGAATGTTTAAGGTGTTCCGATTTGAGTTGGATTGGATTGGTTTTTTTATGTTGAAGAATATAAGATTTATTAAATAATGAAATCAATCTAATTTAATCCATAATTTTTTATAATTGTATTTTTTTTAATTTAAAATTTTATTTATAATAAAAATAAAATATTAATTCATAAAATATCTATTTAATTAAAATTTATAACTTAATTTTAATATATTTTGAAAACTCATGTAACAAAATAAATAAAATTTATTTTTAAGGGTGAATAAATAATAAAATTAAAAAAAATATGGACTTATAATTAATTCATAACAAAAATATATATTTTAAAATTAATAATAAATTTAGATTAATTCAATTCAACCCAATTTAATTTTAGAATAATCAATTTAAAAGTATATAAATTAAAATTCAACATTAAAAAAAAAGGGTAAAAAACAAAAATTAAAATAACATTTTAACTACAAAATTATTAGTATTGTTTTATGAATAAAAATCAAGATTCTAAATATGCTACCAAATTATAATTTAAAAATCCTTAAATATGAAAATACATTGAATTCATGTTTTTTAGATTATGAAAATATTGAAAAACATGAATTGTAATTATGTTTTTAAATGAATTCATTCTTTTCAAATTTATATTTATTTTGGACTAAAATTAATTAAATGTTGCAATTTTAACGCTCTTAAATATTTAAAATAAATAAGATCCAAATAAGATTCAAAAATTTATTGGTCTCCTTTCGTGATAGTTATATGCAATAAGTAGTCGTTGTCTTTTGCATACATTTTCATGTAGCACAAATTTCAATTTCTCAAATTTTATTTTCAAAATTCTCTTTTGAAATCTCTCTACCCTGTTTTCTAAAACTTTCTTCTTGAACTGAGGCCAAAGGCTCGAGCATATGTCGCTTGGCCGTAGGCGACGCAAGAACGAATAAGCTTAACTCATTTGTTACTTAGAAGTGAATGTCGTACAATCGTAAGTCCGCTGCCATCAAAGTGCGATTGTAATAAGTCGTCATAACTTTACAAAAAAAACTCCGGCTTAGAAAGAACCAACCCTCACAATTAAAGCCGGCAAAAGTACATATCTCATTTGACGCTTTTAAAAAGATAAAAAATGTTTTTTAACTTCATATCCAAACTTTTGATCATTTTTTCATTCAAACTTTTCGATACTGGTCGATGTCATAAAGTTCCAAACAATTAAGCAAGGTAGAGCTCGATACTATTTTCGAGTTTAAAAACATAATAACTTGTAAAGCATACACAAAAGCAAGGGATCAAAGCTTTTCCTCATGCATCCCCTTCAACAGATTGCTAATTTAACATAAAATATGAACATTCTGAGCAACATTTGCAAGTAAAGAAAGGAAGAAACTTTGCTGTTCGAAGGTTTATGCAATAAAATGTACCAAAATTCTCACCTATATTTGCAAGTCAAGAAAAGCAACGGTAAAGAGTTGCATTCAATCAACAAGCTACCACCAAAATTAGTATCATAATGACACTAATGTACGATGACACACGGGCTTATTTTGAGTAAATGACACCCGATATCCTTTTTTCCTTTGAGTAACTAATTACGTTTAACGTCCCTTTATGACCGCGAGCATCAGCGAGTGGTGTGATGACAACCAACTTGATTGAAAATAACGATGTGAAGGTAGTTCAAAACTGGAATTGACACAATATCGCGAAGTGGCCGCCTAACTGAAGAACCAAAAAGCACTGCGTCGAACTTCAGCCCCTAAGAGTTGGCCACGAGGCAACAACCTCTGACGTCAACAATAAATGAAACAAAGGATATGAACCTCCAAACTCTAAATCGCATGTAGAATCTAAAAACTAGTAATAAATAAGACATTTCTAAAACTTTCATCCTAAAGAGAACCAAACAAATATTGAGAATATTGTTTTCAATTACACATATCACGATAGATCCTAAAATATTAACCCCAACCTAAATATCAAATCCCGATAATCATCAAAGATATTTACAACCCGAACAATCCAGTTTAGCTCAAAACCGGGAGTTAATGTAAGCAAACCATGCATACATCCTTATTCAAAACAAAGATTATCAATCAATCTTCTTTACCTCACAAAACCTCAACAAAGATGAATATTAATAATATCGACTCGATTTACTTTCTATATCAGCACATTATAAATATCAATATCGAAACTATTAGGCATAAGAATTTGAAATTCTGAATGTTCCATAGAATTTTTGCTTTGAATCTTACCGTTTCTTCATTTGTGATAAACCAAACAGAGCAAGTGATCCGCAGACAAATATTCTGATCCTGCAGAATCACAATGAAACGTTAATGATAAGTGAAGGGTCCACAACAAAAAGCGTTGTGACATGGAAGGCATTTACTAAAGAGGAAGAAAAGAAGTTGATTCAACAGAACCTTTACTCTTTCTCAAGCCTATAAATTTGGCGACCCATCTTGCAGACATTCCATAAGCTTCTTCTTCTCTACCTTTGCATTGTACAACAATGGCGGGCAGTAATAAGTTCTCACTAGCCTCTAGACATCAATTGGCCAAGGGTAACAAGTTCATGTTCGCCATTTCTGACGACAATGCGATGATGAAGCAAATAACAGCCACCCATGATCCTGACGATCGAGATGTCGATACAAGATCCCTTCTACATCTTGTCGAAAACATTCTGAAACGTGCTACATTAGCTGCAGATCCCATGGTATGAAACTAGTCCATTCTGCTTCTGCACGTATAAAATTATCAAACACTTAATGCAGACGATAGAGTAAATTGTTGAAAATGGTTGCTCAACTAATTATGAATGGTAGAACAGGGTTCACACGAACTAGAGAGTTTGGAGAAAACAGACACCAATCAAGCAGGCTTCACGACCATATTGGAAGCGTTGTCCTACACAATTGATAGGATTTCGAGTGAGGTGATTGAAAATTGATTATTTTTAACTACTCAAGTTTCAACTAGCCCTACACATGAGTGATATATGATATTGAATATTGACATGTTATTGTGATGAACATTATCAGATATCATACAAGGCTTTGGAAGGGATAGATCCACATGCAACATCATTGGCAATCTTTAACATGTTGGCAAACTACCAATGGGATGCTAAGCTGGTTCTAACATTAGCTGCTTTTGCTATGAACTATGGAGAATTCTGGCTTCTTGCCCAGATTCACTCCCAAAACCAACTAGCGAAAGCAATGGCAATTTTTAAGCAACTTCCAGGAATCCTCGAACATTCGACTGCATTAAAGCCTAAGTTCGATGCGCTAAAAGATCTTGTGACAGCTATATTGGAGGTAACTTGGTGCATCATTGACTTGAAGGAACTTCCATCAGAATATATCTCACAAGAGGTTCCAGCAATGTCCACAGCAGTAGCCCATATCCCGACTGCGGTCTACTGGACAATTAGAAGTATTGTTACCTGCGCAACTCAGACTACGAGCTTAACTAGCATGGGATATGAGTATGTTCTCCTCCTCTCTTTCTAGTCATCCATCTTCGATTTTTTTCTTTTCACAGCCATATCGTACCATGAGCCGATAACCATTGTGGTTGTCTCGATTCAGGTTAGCCTTATCAACCAGTACCGAATCGTGGGAGCTATCTACTCTAGCCCACAAGCTTAAAAACATTCATGATCATCTCAAAAAGCAGCTGGTTCTCTGCCACCAATATATAGGTAGATTACATAGATAGTTTCTTTTCGCCCTCTCTCCACAATACTGATAAGTCGCCATCCTTCAATGCAGAGGAAAAGAGAGACGTTGAATCATTTCAAATGCTCGTTCGTCTTTTTGAAATGACCCACCTGGATAACATGAAGGTTCTCAAGGCTCTGATTTATGCTAAAGATGATCTGCAGCCTATAGTTGATGGCTCTACAGGGAAAAGGGTCTGGACATCTCACTACTGCTAACAAAACTCAGTTAACATTTCCAATTCTTACCTCTCAACATTCTTCTAACTATCTCTTGATTCTCTATTAAAACAGGTTAACCTCGACGTTCTAAAAAGGAGAAATGTGCTACTGCTCATCTCAGACTTGAATATCTCCCATGACGAACTTTCAATTCTCGATCAGCTTTATAATGAGTCAAGGGCCCAAGGAATGCAGGTCGAGAGCCAGTTCGAGGTAGTTTGGATCCCGATTGTGGACCATTCCATCAAGTGGGATGATTTGATGCAAAAACGGTTCGAGTATCTCCTATCCATAATGCCATGGCACATAGTGCACCATCCTACATTGATCTCTAAGGCAGTTGCTAGATTCATCAGGGAAGTATGGCAATTCAGAAACAAGCCTATCCTTGTGGTTTTAGACCCTCAAGGTAAAGTAGTAAGCCCAAATGCAATCCACATGATGTGGATTTGGGGAAGTCTTGCCTTCCCATTCACCAGCTTGAAAGAGGAAGCTCTATGGAGGGAAGAGACCTGGCGGCCCGAGCTGCTCGTGGATGGCATCGACCCCGCCGTTCTGAACTGGGTAATTCAGCCATCATAAAGCTAATGCTATGATTCATTACTAAAATCTCCATATTCTAATCTTAAATCTTTCTTAGAAACCATCAATGATCTTCTTATTCTGTTTTCAAAACACAGATTAAGGAAGAGAAGTACGTGTTCTTATATGGAGGAGACGACATAGAATGGATAAGAAAATTCACAATCACAGCAAAAATGGTGGCACAAGCAGCACGCATACCTTTAGAAATGGTGTATGTAGGAAAGAGCAGCAAAAGAGAACGCGTAAGGCAAATCATTACAACAATCACAACAGATAAACTAGGCTATTGCTGGTCAGATCTTACCATGATTTGGTTCTTCTGGACTCGAATCGAGAGCATGCTGTTCTCCAAGATCCAATTAGGAAAAGCCGACGATCGCGATCCCCTGATGCAAGAAATCAAAAAGCTCCTCAGCTACGACAAAGAAGGAGGATGGGCGGTTCTGAGCAAAGGATCAACCGTGATTGTCAATGGCCATAGCACCACCGTCTTGCCCACCCTCGTAAACTTCGATTCATGGAAGCAACAGGCCGCCGATGAGGGTTTCGACGTAGCCTTCAAGAATCATCACGACGAACTTCAAGGCATTACTCATCCTTGTTGCCGCTTCGAATTTCCACACACCACTGGGAGAATTCCGGAGAATTTCAAGTGCCCTGAATGCGATCGGCACATGGAGAAACTCACCACTTTCCTCTGCTGCCATGACGAAAAACTAGATGAATGAACCAAGGGAATACCTTATTGACGTAAAACAAACTGAAATTCTTCAACCATGGCTCTGAATCTCGAATTCTAAGAAGATTCTTTCGTTGATCGATGAATATTCAAGAATCATGAATTTAAATTCTCATGATAAATATTTATAATTTATTTTTCACCATTGATATGATTCGTTTTAACCGGTTACTTATCATCGCTAGTATAACGGTTTTAAAATGCATCTACTAGAGAGATATTTCCACACCATTAATAAGGAATGTTTCGTTCTCTTCTCCAATCGATGTGGGATCTCACACTATTAAGAAATGTTTCATTCCCTTCTCCAACCGATGTGGGTTCTCACAGGCATCTCGATATTTGCTTGGGAGTGCTCCTGAGGTCTCCCTTTCACGTAGATCGTTCTCTTCTTTGTCTTTTTCATTCAGTGTCAACGTTGCATCAGAAAATCTTCGTCTTCGATCTCTATTCACAACACAACATAAAAGTCAACATTTTTTTTTTCTCAATATCTGTTTTAAGTCATTGATTTCATATCGAGAAGCATTATGTAATCACTATTAAGCCAACGCTCATTCCTTTCAAGTTTGATTATGCCCCTAGACTCGTTACATTGTTCGACTGAACTATTAACTACACACTCGACATCTAGCTTATCATGCCCATCTAGCACCTTTCTTTTGCCCCACGATTAGGCCGCTTAGGTTAGCTTTTGGAGTATTGAAGGTAACTCTCGCATCTCGACCTTGTTTAATTTCATTATTATATTTAATGTAAAGTGTATTGTTTAATAACTTAAATATAATAACTCAGTTCTTAATTACGTTACTATCTCAGACGGGAATGGTTCGATCCCTAAAATTATCGAGCTTAAGCAAATAATAAATAAAAAAATACAATTTCAAAGGGAGAAATGTCAAAAGATTTAATCTTTAAAATACTTTTCTCATCTAATGTCGGAAGATCTCTATCAGTTGCAGAAAATTGGAGGAAACTCCGTTTCCCGTTCAACTCTTGAAAAATCAATGGAACTTAACTGGACACGAACATCCGAAATCAAGAACCCGCGACGTCCAGCTCGAGAGGAGTTGTGTTCTACTGCCACTGTGGTTTATGTTTACAACGAACTTCTGAATTCACTTTGTAAGAAAATGTTACAAGGAGGCATCGAGATCTCGAGCATACTTCTGCTGCCTGTTCCGATCCACGAAACTCATATAGGAAGCAGTTCTCCTCTTGTTCTTATGATGTTTTTCCTTCACCCCCTTCCCTTTCCGACCTGAAAACCTCGACACGATCATTACCATGAACATGAAACCAGATATCGCCCACAGAGCAATAATCCACATCCTCAGAGAACTAAACATCCCGTCCTCTTTCGCCTCCTCCGACGATTCCCGAGAATTCTCTGTTGACAAAGTGTCGCCTTTTCCGATATCGTCAAGCTTTCCGAGTTTCCTCGAAACCACAGCTCCGCTTTCATCTCCCGAGTTCAAGTTGGTCGACGAGCTAGGATCCGGGCAGTTCATCTTCATGTGATGCAGATTGAGAGCTTCATTGAGTGTTCTTATACACTCTATGCTGAGCAAGTCCCTTGCAAATGAATCCTTGTCAGTTTGATCAAGTGTGGAAGGATCTGGTGGGGATGGAAATTTGGCCCAACATTTGTTGATCATATCAGTTTCCCTCCAATTTGCTTTGTCAAAGCTCCAATTCCCAACTTTAAATTCAAGTCCATAGTGAAAAACTCTGTAATGAACTCCGGGATCAGGAGCGTATCCCGGGTATAACAGTATTTCCGAGCTCCGAATATGATGTAATTGCAACTGTTTGAACACGAAAAAGAGATATTTTCAGTTTCATTCGAGAATATTCGATGCTTGTTTCAACCTGATTTACAATGAAGACATTGAAATGATCGTATACCGCTAACATGCAACCTAGAACAATACCCACAACTTTCATAGCGTTTCGTTTTGAGATAGGTAAGCCTTATGTCTCCATAGACGAGCATTTAAAGCCTCGTGGAGTAGGTCTCATAAATCTCGTAGCAAAATTTAAGGACTAAAACAAAACAATCGAAAGTAAATGTAACTGCCTAGGCCCACCGCTAACCAATATTGTCCTTTTGGGGTTTTCCCTCAAGGTTTTTAAAACGGGTCTACTAGGGAGAGGTTTTCACACCCTTAATAAAGGGTGTTTCGTTCTCCTCCCCAACCAATGTGGGATCTCACAATCCACCCCCCTTTAAGGTCCAGCGTCCTTGCTAGCACTCGTTTCTTTCTCCAATCGATGTGGAACCCCCACTAAATCCACCCCCCTTCGGGACCCAGCGACCTTACTAGCACACCGCCTTGTGTCTACCCCCCTTCAGGGCTCAGCCTTCTCGTTGGCACATCGCTCGGTGTCTGGCTCGAATACTATTTGTAATGGCCCAAGCCCACCGCTAGCAGATATTGTTCTTTTTAGGTTTTTCCTTTCGGGCTTTCTCTCAAGGTTTTTAAAATGCGTCTACTAGGGAGAGGTTTCCACACCCTTATAAAGAGTGTTTCGTTCTCCTCCCCAACCGACGTAGGATCTCAGTAAAGGAACAAAAATAGCACCATGGATCAAAATAAGTACCTCGGCAGCACCGAACGAGTAGCCATACATTTCACTGATCCAGCCAGATTGGTATATATCTCCCGTGATATTTGTTGCATAATGAGCTCGGTCCGCTCGGACCTCCTCGGTTTTATGCAGCCATAGCAAGGCAAATTTCCTGAGATCATCAATGTGCATGATAATAACACCACCAACCTTGTCACAAGCTTCAGGATGGCTTGTATGGAGTTTGGCAAGCACATTGTCACAGCCAATGAGGTAACTACCAGCAAGCATATATGCAAAACGAGTCGAAATAAGTATAGTTTTATGTCGTTTATATGCCGAGAGAGACATTGAAATAACTTCTTACTCGTAGGGAGTCGAAACAGGACGTCCCCGAGCTGCTTTGAACTCCCACGGCGTAATAGATCCTCTCATAATCATATCAGCATCAAGAATTACTATGAATTCGGCATCGGTGTCGACATGATTGAGCCAATGAAGCACTGCAGCTGGCTTGTTTATCGCCGGATACCTAAGACGACATCAGTGTCTACATTATAACTTTGCTTAAAAGCGGGCTCGTGAAGGAAGATAAAAAGAGATTACCAGTCGCCTGTTAATGGATGTCGGCTCATGGAAGGAACGTAATGGGTCGGAGCCAGATTGTGACCTTTGTATTCCTTCAAGTCCTCGTTGGTACAGCTGAGAAGTCGAGTAATGTTTCCAGGTTGGCCACTCATGCGGAAACTATGCATAAGGCCTACAGTTTGCCAATCGAAATAAGTAGAGCACTCGGTCGAGAAAAGGGTGTGGATCTTTGGATATGGTTCCTGCAGTTCATCGAGCTCGGGTTGTTTCTGAACAAGATCTTCCTTCACCGGTGGTTTTGGAACATGTTCTTTCTTCGCTCGTCGTTTCGGAACATGTTCTTTTTTAACCGGTTGTTTCTGAACATGATCTTCCCTCATTACCAAGGTAGCAGGGGTTGGATACTTCGGTTTAGTTAGATCTGTAAAAATTTTACTCTTTAAAAAGCTTAAATATTTTGACCATTGTGGCTTCGGGCATCCGTTTCGTTTATGTTGCAACAGCAAGCCCTCGTTCAACACGTTCATACACTCTATATTTATAAGTAGCCCTCGCTTCTTATTTGAATCGGATTCCATTTGTTGTACCTGCACCAAGTTCATTTTTTAGCAACAAGCAACCACTTATAAACTAAAATTTAAGCCCACCGCTAACAGATATTGTCCTCTTTGTAGGAAGAGGTCTCTGGGCTTCCTCTCAAGGTTTTAATACGCGTATGCTAGGGAGAGATTTCCACACCCTTATAAGGAATGCTTCGTTCCCCTCTCTAACGGACGTGGGATCTCACAATCCATCCCCTTTGGGGGCCCAGCATCCTCACTGACACACCACTCGGTGTCTGATACTATTTGTAACAACTCAAACCCACTGCTTGTAGATATTGTCTGTTTTGGCCCGTTACGTACCGCCGTCAGCCTCACAGTTTTAAAACGCGTCTACTAGGGAGAGGTTTCCACACCCTTAAAAGGAATGCTTCGTTCACCTCTCCAACCGATGTGGGATCTCACAATCTACCCTCCTTGGGGGCAAGCATCCTCACTGGCACACGCAAGGCGACTGACTCTAATACCATTTGTAACAGCCCAAGCCCACCACTAGCAAATATTGTCCATTTTCACCCATTACGTAACGCTGTCAATTTACTAGGGAGAGGTTTCCACAACCTTATGAGGAATGCTTCGTTCCCCTCTCTAACCGATGTGTGATCTCACAATCTACTCTCCTTGGGGGGCAGCGTCTTCACTGGCACACCGCTCGATGACTGGCTCTGATACTATTTGTAACAACCCAGACCCACCGTTAGCAAATATTATCCGCTTTGGCCCGTTACGTATCGCCGTCAGCCTCACGATTTTAAAACAAGTCTACTAGGGAGAGGTTTCCACACCCTTATGAGGAATGCTTCGTTCCCCTCTCCAATATACGTAGGATCTCACAATATCAAAGGAACCATTCATTTAGATACATACCTCTCGAGGATAAGGAGGTTCGGGGAAAAGCCGGTTACAGTCATAGACGATACCATCTTCATGGTGATTTAATTTATTAAACGACCAATTTCCCACACTAAATGGCAACCCATAGTGAAGAAGTATAGGCTCAACACCGGGACGAGGAATATAACCCGGGTATATCATCAAATTATCATTAATTTTGTGGCGGAGACCAACCTACATTAAGCAAAGAAGTCAGATAATCAAAACATAAATCTCGAGAATAACGGGTAAGAGGAAAAACAAAGCTTACTTCCGCTGCTGCAAACGAGTAACCGTACATCTCACTTATCCACCCTTTCCCATAAATATCCCCCGTTATGTTGGTCGCCCAGTGATCTCTATCTTCACGTACTTCCTCCGTCTTCGAAAGCCACATCGGTGCGAACACTCGAAGATCATCTATATGCATTGCTAACAAGCCACCGACTTTGTCACAGAGTTCGGGGTGCTTCGTGTGCAATTTAGCAAGAATGTTGTCACATCCAACCAAGTATCTGAAAGAAATAGTGTTTATATCATTTAAACTCAACAGCATCGATCCAAGTAACGTCGATAACGTCTCCGTTTAAGGAGAATATGAGCTTTGATGCTTAAAAAGACCGAAACGAGAGAAGAGAAAAAATCGTAACCCATAATATGCTGCAACAGGTCTGCCCTTTTCAGCACCAAGCTGCCATGGTATTATGGGGCCTCTTATGATCATGTCTGCATCCAAAATCACAACCCAATCAACATTCTCTGCTTCTTTACTGTGTTTAAGCCAATGGACAACCCCTGCAGGCTTATTTATTGCAGGATACCTGCAAAAACAAGTCATTTTTTGTTTAATTTGTAGGCGTGTTTCGAGAGGAGGGAAACGAAAAACAAACGAGTTTCAAGTTCGAAGAAAGATAGATCGACAGAAAACGTCTTCGTTTATTGATGTAAAATAGGTCGAGTTTCACGAGTGAGTAATATATAGTCAGTCTTAAGGAATTGTGAAGCCTCTCGAGCATGCAACGTACACAAATATTCTTCTCTTTGCACCTAAACTAGCCATCTTTTTGCACAAGGTCAAAATTCAAGCCCTTCCCGAACCCGTTTCTCCCGTTTCGTTCCCACTTTTCCAGTTCGAATTTTACGTGCCATTTCGAACAAGAATATTGCATCATCCCACTACCCTTTAGAATTGAGATATATTTCCTAAACAAGAAGCCTCCTTCACCGCACCGGGTTTGCGGTATCGATTGCTAAACGAGCTACACTTGGAGCATTGAGTTAGCATCGTTAAACAGTTGAACGGAGCACAAAATGGGACCACAATATCATCATTATGTGCTCCTAATCCAACAGGTCAGGGACGAAAAAACGATATACAAACCAATCGATCTATTCAACAGATAAACAAATGTAGAGCTAAAATCAAACAAAACCAAGGAAGATAACAATCAAATCACATCTAAATGACTAACCATAAGCACACCAAAAGTAAAACAAAATCCAAGTCCTCGGGTGTAACCGTTGAAGCCCACTGCTAAGCAGATACTGTTATCTTCAGACTTTTCCTTTTGGGCTTTCCCTCAAGGTTTTTCGTTTATTAGAGGGAGGTTTTCACACCTTTGTAAGGAGTGTTTCGTTCCCCTCTCCAACCGATATTGATCTCACAATCAACCCCCTTTCGGGATCCAGCGTCCTCCCTAGCACACCGCCCGATATCTGGCTCTGACATCATTTGTAACAGCCCAAGCCCACCGCTAGTAGATATTGTCCTCTTTGAACTTTCCCTTTCAAGTTTCCCCTCAAAGTTTTTAAAACACGTCTCCTAGGGAGAGGTTTCCACACTTTTATAAAGAATGTTTCGTTCCCTTCTCTAACCGATGTGGGATCTCACAATCCACCCCCCTTCGAGGCCTAGCGTCCTCGCTAGCGCACCGCCCAGTGTCTGACTTTAATATCATTTGCAACAAACCAAGCCCAACGCTAGCAAATATTGTCCTCTTTAGGCTTTCCCTTTCAGGCTTCCCCTCAAGGTTTTTAAAACGCATCTGCTAGAGGGAGGTTTCCACACCCTTGTGAGGAATACTTCGATCCCCTCTCCAACCGATGTGGATCTCACAATCCACCCCCTTTCGGGGTCCAGCATCCTCGCTGGCACACCGCCTGATATCTGGCTCTAATATCATTTGTAACAGCCCAACCCATCGCTAGCAAATATTGTCCTCTTCAAGCTTTCCCTTTCGGGCTTCCCCAAGGTTTTTAAAACGCGTCTACTAGGGAAAGTTTTCCACACCCTTATAAAGAATGTTTCATTCCCCTCTCCAACCGATGTACGATATCACATCAGCTCCAACGTTCTCAAAACAAAATAGAAAAGGACGAACAAAATCTAACCCATCCCCACTTTTGGGATATCATCTCTACTCCTACAAAACCAAGAAACTAATCCAGCCAACAGATGAACAATCTCACAACTAAAATCAAAACAAAACCATCACAGATATCAATCAAATTCAAAAACCATCAAATCAATAACCAAAACCACAGAAAAAGCAACACAAAAGCCCAAAAGTTCATAAAATCAAAGGGAAAATATGAAGAAACTCTCACCAATCCCCTGTTTTGGGGTGCCTACTCATGGATGGAACCTCAAAAGTTGGAGCCAAATCCATCCCCTTATAATCCTTCTTCTCCTCATCTGTGCAACTAAGCAACCGGGTGATCGGCCCCGGTTGCTTCGACTTCCTGAAGCTATTCATCAACCCAACAGTTTGCCAATCAAAGTAATCCTGACACTCCACCGAGAACAGAGTATGAATCCGCCACGACGCCGCCACGCCGGAGCTATTACTCCGCCCATCGCCAGCAACAAACCCCGCCAAAAAAATCGCCACAAACACCAAGAACTCCCTCATTTTGGCTCAATCCAATCCCGGATTTCAATTAAGTATCGGTTTTAGAGATCTGGATTGCATTTCGCGGATCACAGCATCAGGTCAAACTTCAAAATTTTCTAACTCTTTTTTTGGATTTCTTCGACATGGAGTAGAGGGAACGATGTAATAAAATAATTTAGAACAAAAATCTATACAATACAACCTGTTTTTTGTTCTTCAATTTCGACTGGTTTATGAATTTGCTTCTCTGATCGGAACATGGGGGCTCTTGGGAATGGTTCTTTTAATCCAACTACCATTTCCAGGAAGCGCTTCTCTTCCGGGGTAATTATGGCCAAGACCCACTACGAATTTCAATAAAAATTTAGTTTAAGCGTTAATTTTCGTTGAAATTTTGTTTATTTCACGCTAAATATATGTTTTATATTTTCATTAACTTTCTATTTTTATATAGAAACTTCCCAAAAAAAAAACATTTGGGAGGAAATATATGTTCAAGCAATATCAAATCTTCGACCGTCTAGGCATGTCACCCGAGTTTAAGATGGTCCATTGCATGAAGAAAGTCCATGGAACGAACGAAAAGAGGGTCTATCTCTAATCTCTTCCATTAAGAAATTGGTCTTTTTACTTTCCTTTCGTTCTTTTTTGTTTCCTCCGGAGAAAAAGATCGCTTCAAGGCATATCGATTTTAAGATCATAGTTTACTCGTCAATAGCTCATATGAATCTGGTGACGGTTGTAACGACAATCATTAGGTCACTTATTTTGAGTTATGAGCATACCGTGTTTTTTGAAATTACAACAATTCACTCAATATTATTGTCAGAGTATTTTTTTTTTTTTTTTCGACTTTTGATATATATTTAGGCACATTTCTCAAAGAACAAATTGTATTCATGGCAATATGATTAGAGATAATTAATGTAAGTTCATCTGCAAAACGTAAGGGAATCAATAAAATTAAAAATAGTAATAATTGCATGCCATTATTTTACTATAATCGTAGTAAAAATTCAATGGTGTTACGTATAGTAATAAAATATTTAACAATACTTAAATTGGTTGACTTAATTGAAGGTGGTCTTGATGGGGTAATGCACCTGATTTTTACATGATAATAACCGTAAAATTTATTTAAGAGTTCATGACCTAAAAAATAAGAGAGACTTGCACAACAACATACTGATGTTGTGCTTGTTGCACAAACTCTAATCTTTAAGCTTGGTGTTTACTTCGCAAATTCTAGTGTTTCACGAGTTTTGGAATTATGAATAACTTACTTCTTTAAGTTGAAGAAGATAATTTATATGATCTCGGGTATTTTGTTGACTTGATTAGGTTAGAAGAGGATTGGATAAAGCTAGATGAGTATCACATAACTCGAGACATGTTGCACATACCCGTACATACTCGTATCCAATTTCACTCATAGCATTAAGATTTGTTCTCATTGGATTGTTTTTAGGATTGTCATCTGATCCAAAGAGACTATTCGAGTCTTCTTGGAGTGTAAGATTCTTTTTTGGGTTCGTGAACTAAAATATTCGAACATATGGAAACCGATAGGAGAAACTTTTTGTACAACACAACTACACGGTTAGTCATGTATGCTCAAACTTCAAGCAAATACATCTCTAAATATATGCATGACCATAATAACATATATCAATCGTCAAGAATCTCGAAGGCTTCTTTCTCGACATCGCCTCGCTCCTGGTCGTAAATAACCATTGTAAAAATCCGACAATTTCATCGAACAACTATACAACAAAACTTCCATCACTAATGCACAAATGATGGCGTCTCGAAACCAACTTTAGTTAAGCCATCTTCAAAATCATTTCTATAAGACCCGAGCCAGTCAAACGACCAAATGAAAAAACTCCTAATAGACACGATCTCTACAAAAGAACAAAAGAACAAAAGAACAAAAGAAAAATCAATTACAGGTCAACAAAGGCGCAAGATCTCAACTAAGAACAAGCAGGTATTATGAACTTCATACAAACAGACAATTTCATCATCAATCATCAAGGAGAAATTATAGAGGTTACCAACTCCACAGTAAAATCATATAATTTTCCTGAAGAACCGAAAAAAAATGGCATGTGGACTGTGAAGATAGGTTGTTCAAAGTGAAAAATCGAACGTCGGTTTCGTACTTGTTCGATAATGCTACAAAAAGTGCTTTTATGTAAAATGCTTTAATTATAAGTACTTCAAAAGTCGATAAAGAATTACGTCGATATCTATTTTTACATTCTTAACAGTGCTTTTGAGTCGAGAATAATATATTTTTACATTCTTAAACTCCAGCAGCCAAAAAAGACTCAATTCAACATCAAAATACTTGAATCCAACTAAAATAAACACCAATCATCACGCACAAGAATGTCAGCGACAAACCAAGCACCAGAATGCTCAATCTTAGCCACCAATCTAAAGGAAGATATTTGTGAGATCCCACGAGATTGAAGAGAGAAACGAAACATTCTTTATAGGGGTGTGGAAACCTCTCCCTAGCGGATGCATTTTAAAAACCTAGAGGGGAAGCCCGAGAGGGAAAACCTAGAAAGGACAATATCTGCTATCAGTGGCCTTGGCCTATTACAAATGGTATCAAAGCCAGACACCAAGAGGTGTGCCAGTGGGGATGCTGAGCTCCGAAAGGGGATGGATTATGAGATCCCACATCGGTTGGAGAGGGGAACGAAGTATTCTTTATAAGGGTGTGGAAACCTCTCCCTAGCAAACGCGTTTTAAAAACCTAGAGGGGAAGCTCGAAAGGGAAAACCCAAAAAGGACAATATTTGCTAGTGGTGGCCTTGGGCTGTTACAAATGGTATCAAAGCCAAACACCAGGAGGTATGCCAGTGGGGACGTTGAGCCCCAAAAGGGGGTGGATTATGAGATCCCACATCGGTTGGAGAGGGGAACGAAGCATTCTTTATAAGGGTGTGGAAACTTCTCTCTAGTAGACGTGTTTTAAAAACCTTGAGAGGAATCCCAAAAGAGAAAGCCTAGAGAGGACAATATTTGTTTCACAATGTAAAAGTTTGCTAGAATTTACCTAATTTACCGGGCTAGGTTGTTGCACCTCTTGGCACGAAAACAAGCTAAGAGGTGGAAACAATACCATCAAATATCAATTGGTTGTGGTAATCCCTTGCAAGTGATCAGAGTTCTCAAGCAATGCCTCAGTGCTTTCAGGGTCACGTTGAGATGAAACCTTTGATGCCTTGACACGATATAATACAAAATGTTGATAGAAGAAAATCAGATCAAACACTATAGAGACCTGCAGCGCAATATAACTGTAGTGAGCAAATATTGCTAACTCAAATTACTCTTAACACTTTTGAAAGCCATAGTTGGCTCTCGAATCAAATCATCAGGGACTAAAAGGTAATTGACTTCGACAAGTACTGTTAGAGAGAGAGAGAGAGAAATATCGTATTGAAGCTAACAATGGCTTCCCTATATTTCCAAAGAAGTTCACCCAAGAACCTGGAAAGAATCAGAAGTCAAAATTTAGATGGAATTTAGGATGATAATACTGAGTATGGGTTGTTCAGAAACTCAAATATTTTTTTAATTGTCTAAATATTCAAAAATTAATACCATTCCAATCTCCTTTTCCCAATGCATAAACTAAACCGACAATTAGGATAAACACGCAAATTAAAGCTTCTATAAAGACAGATACCTCCATTACATCAAAATTCATTGCCCATGGATAAAGAAAAACCGTTTCAGCATAAAAAAACAACAAAAACTAGAGCAATCATCAAACTTGATGTTTAGATAAAAGCATCCACGATACAATTTTAAAAAATACATAGATAAATATGAATATTGCATATAATGAGAGTACTTTCAAAATATATTCTTGTAAATTCGTCCTAACCCTAGGATGAACAACCATATCAAAATTATACGTTTGATGTATTTTTCACATATGTCTGTAACGGCCTAGATCCACTGCTAGTAGATATTGTCCTCTTTGGGCTTTCTTCGGACTTTCCCTTTCAGGTCTTCCCTCAAAGCTTTAAAACGCGTCTGCTAGGGGAAGGTTTCCACACCCTTATAAATGGTGGTTTGTTCTCCTCCCCAACCAATGTGAGACATCACAATCCACCCCCCTTCGGGGCCCAACATCCTCGGTGGCACTCTTTCCTTCCTCCAATTGATGTGGGACCGCCCCTAAATCCACCCCCCTTTGGGGCCCAACATCCTTACTGGCACACCTCCTCGTGTCTACCCCCCTTCGGGGAACAACGAGAAGGCTGACACATTTTCCGATGTCCGGCTCTGATACCATCTGTAACGGTCCAGATCCACCTCTGGCAGATAATGTTCTTTTTGGGCTTTCCCTTTTGGGTTTTCCCTCAAAGCTTTAAAACGCGTCCGCTAGAGGAAGGTTTCCGCCTTATAAATGGTGGTTTGTTCTTCTCCCCAACCAATGTGGGACATCACAATGTCATTACAAATTATGGAAAAACTTTTGGTCCTTCAGGTTTGAGCTCGGTAACACTTAGGTCCCTGAGTTTTCAAACTTAACAATTTAGCCCCGAGTTTTGGATTTAGTTTCATTTATGTCATTATAAATGATGAGGCGACCATGGTAGCTAGTGGCAGCCATGGATGGAGGAAGAAGAAGAATGGGAGGAGGAGGGAGAAGGGAAAACAAATGTCATGTGACCATGTCATTAGTAATTAACGGAAATTTGGATCGAGGGACCAAAATGAAACTAAATCTAAAATTTAGGGGCTAAATTGTTGGGTTTGAAAGAGACCTAAATGCTTCCAAACTCAAACCTCAGAGACCACGAGTGCATTTTTCTCGTAAATTAAAGTCATATGTTTTCCATATTGACCCTTAAATTATACGGTTCAAATAAAATATGGCTATCAATACCAAGCTAACCGCAGATATAAATCACAACAGAAGTATTAGGCAATTGTTTGGTTAAGAAAACATTAGATGACCTTGGTAAATTGATTGCACGCTCATTTGAGTCAAAGTGGCCACTCCTCCAATGAAGTCTTGAACTACAGTATGAATGCTGAATCCCATCGTGCTCTTTCGGGTAAAGTTTAAAAATGCCTGAATGTAAACAATGGGACTTCGTGAAATGCAAGCTTCCTTGTTCTTTGCTTGCAAGTTTATATCAGAAGCAAACGTAAGCACAAATTTATTTTACTCTCAAATGGATTTACACTTCTTAACAGCCACATGGTCATATTGCAAACATTTGGAGTAGCTAAACAATTCCATGATAACTTTAGGAAACATTACCACACTTGGGGTCGGACTAATTCTCGAAGGTTTCAAACTATATGAGAAATTTTT